CGGGGCGCGCCTACCGAGGGCTCCTCCTCCCAGTGGCAGGCGGGGCGTGCAGAGCACCTACCGAGGGTTCCTCCTCCCAGTAGCAGGCGGGGCGCACAGGGTCTGCTTGCACGGCCAGCAGGTGGATGGCCCTCCCGGCCAGTCCCAGGAGCCGGGCGCGGATCTCCACGCAGCCCACACTCAGCGGCTGCAGGCTCCCCAGCTGCGCCAGTGCCCTGTGTGCCAGGGTGCGCTTCAGCGTGAACCATTGCTTTGAAAAGACAGACACGTTACAGCCACCACTGGGAGGGCAACCGCCCGCCCTGCCCAGGGGACCCAGCGAGCCCTCCCTCTGGTGTCCCTGTGGGTGGGGACAGTGGGGGCTCTGAAAAATACCCCCACCCCACCGGGTGCTGCATGCTCAGGGAGGGACTTGGGGGCTCTGGTTTGGGGGCCATAGACAGCTGCTCATATAACTTATTAGTGACCTTGGTTAAGGTTACAATCATATCACCAGTAACCTTAATTCAGAGCTCGCTGACAAACCAGTTTTAGGGCCGTCTCCGGTCCATTTATACCGATGTAAATTAATTTGAGTCATATTTCATGAAATCTAAGAAAATGCAAAATGGAAGAAGGTACATTTCCTTCAAAACATTCTACATATTCAACTTTTCTTTTTTTCATACCAAAATGGAGTCCACTTCTATTGTGCTCTGTAATACGCCTACGCATTATTAATACAAATAAATTAGTCAAAGCAAATTCATGAGTTGGGAAGGGCAGCTGTGGGTCATACCGGAAACAGCCCACAATGGAACCTTGATTTTATTAGCCAATTCAGTCCCCTCCAATGGCGAGACGACGCCCTTCTTCTGCAAGGCCCCCAGTGATAGAGGTCCCCGCAGGGAAGGCACTCAGATTCCCACAGCCGATCCGCACCACCAGGCGGGCCGCGATGGAGGCGGGTCCTGCTGGAATGGGCCCCCTTAGCTGCGCTGTGGCCCCCTCCACAGAGAACCTGTGACTAAGAGCACCCCGCAATTACCAGGCCAACGGAAGTGTAGTCGCCGGTGTTCTGCAGATACTTGGCCAGCAGCTTCTCCAGGGACCCCTGCTCACTCTGCGGCCCGTGGGCCTCCTCCCAGATGAACTGGAGCATGCCCAGAGCCATCTCCACGAGGCTGAGCTTGAGGTGCGCCAGCTTCCTCATCAGGGGCGTGTTGACATTCTGCACCTGAGGCGGTCGGGCATGTATCTGAGGCATGGACGCTTCTGGTGAGACTGAATCTACATCCACAGCTTGGACAAGGCTCAGCTGACATAATAAACTCATAATAAACTGCACAGATGCAAAACCTGACACATTTGATCACAAACACACCTGTGAAAGCATCACCCCCTGGAGACAGTGCAGTAGCCCTCACCCCCAAATGTCCTCGCGCCCCTGCGTGCTCCCTCCCAGTCACTCAGCTGCCTGCTGGCACCCGAGGTCAGTTTGCATTTTCCAGAACGGTCGGTCTTTCCGTCTGGTTCACTTCCCTCGGCAGGGTCACGGGCAGGCTCCCCCTCGAGGCTGCACTCATGCTCCCCTCCCCCACGGCCGGTGTCGCCGCACTGTGGATGTGCCCCTGTCTGCTTATCTATTCCATCGCCAGTTTGGGGGCTGCCACAGGTAAAACTGCTGCCAACATTCATGTGCAGAGGCTGGGTCCTGGGCAGGCCTATGTGTAGCTTTTATCCAACAGCCGAGCTTGCTTCCGCAGCAGGTGCGTCAGGCCACCTCCCACGGCAGCCACGGCGCTCAGGGCCCGCCTGTCCACACCCTTGCCCACATCTGGTGTGGTGGGTCTTTTACACTGTAGCTGTTTTAACAGGTGTGTGGTGGTTTCTAGATGGTTGCACTTCGCATGTCCCTAGCTGACTCATGATATTCGTCTGTCCGTGTGCTCGTTTACCATCCACGTATTTTCTGTGGGGGAAGCGCCTGTTAGGATATGTTGCTCGTGTTTTATTGGGTTGTTATTAACTTTGGAGAGTTCTTCGTCCATTCCAGATAAAGTCTCTATCAGGCAGAGGACGTGTGTTTTCTTCCTGCCTGTGGCTGGTCTTGTCATTCTCTTCAGAGTGTCTTCTGAAGGGAGGTCCAAGTTATCAGTTTGTCACTTTATGGCATAAATAAGAAACCCTCGCCAACCCTGAGGTCACAAAGGTGTTTCCTTATGTGTCCTTCTAGAAGCTTCACAGTTTCAGCCCTTAGGTTTAGCTGTGCAATCTCTTTGGAGGCGATTTTTACGTGTAGTGAGCTAAGAAGTGAAGGGGATTGTTTTGGAGGTGCATAATCCTTTCTTTGGCGAGCTGCCTCTGTGCCTTTGCTGACAATCACTTTCCTGGATGTGTGGGGTCCACACCTGGATTCCGCCTTGTTCCACTGACCACGTGTCTACTTTTACACGAAAGCCACGCCGTCTTGCCTCCTGGACCTCGCTGTACTAGCAAACCTCCAATTTCCTTCTTTTTCAAAGTTGTGTTGGCCACATTCGGTCTTTTGTATTCTCATATGAGTTTTAAAATCATTTTGTCATTTTCTCTAAAAAAGCCTGCAGTGACCTTGATCAGGAGTACAGATCATTTAGGGAGAGTCAGCATCTGAACAATGTTAAGTCCTCTGATCCACAAACGTGTTTCTCCATTTACTTAGGTCTTCTCAAATTTTTCTCTGTCATGTTGTGTAGTTCTCAGAGTATAAGCTTTCACATTTTTTGGGAAAAATTTCATTTTTAAATGCTTTCATAAATTTTTTTTTTTTTAAGATGGAGTCTCTCCCCATTGCCCAGGCTGGAGTGCAGTGGCGTGATCTTGGTTCACTGCAACCTTTACCTCCCAGTTTCAAGCGATTCTCCTGCCTCAGCCCCCTAATAGCTGGGATTACAGGTGTGCAGCACCACACCTGGCTAATTTTTTCTATCTTTAGATATAGGGTTTCACCATGTTGGCCAGGCTGGTCTTGAACTCCTGACCTCATGATCCTCCTGCCTCGGCCTCCCAAAGTGCTGGGATTACAGGCGTGAGCCACCGTCCCCAGCCTGTTTTAAAAATGTTAATATCTGATTGTTTCTAGCACGTAGAAATATACAGCCGACATCTGCATAGTGTTCTTCTATCCCGCAACCTTACTAAACTGAGTAGCTTTATTTTTGGGTAGATTGCACCTGACTGTGTATACAGACAATTATGTTACCTGTGAACAAAAACAGTTTCATTCCTTCCTTTCCAGTCTGGATGCTTTTCATTTCCTTTTCACCTTCATGTTTGCATAGGCCGGAACTCCCGTGTCAACACAGAACACAGGTGAGAAGGGGGCACGTCCTTGTCTTCATCCTTATCGAAAGGGGCACCGGTCTTTCCCCCATAATTGTGACTTCCCCAACCTGGTAAAACACATCTATGAACAAGTTAGAGTCTTTTATCAGGTTGAGGAAGATTTCCTATATTAATTGCTGCTAGGAGTGTTTATCGGGAACGGTGTTGAATTTTGTCAAATGCTTTTCCTGAATCCACAAAGATGATCATATGGCTTTCATTTGTTAGTTGTGAAAACATGGTGAAACAAATTAATTTTTGAATGTTAAACTATTCCGGGGTAACCTCAGCTTGCTTGTGATGTCTCACCCTTTTTATATGTTGTTGGATTTAATTTGCTAGAATTTTGTTCACAATGAATGCTGCTCAGTAGCTTTTTTTGTTGTTGTTTGTTTTGTTAATGTCTTTACCTTGTTTTGGTATCAAGGTAATATTTGTCTTACAGAAAAATTGGGATATAATCTCTCTTTTTCAATTTTCTAGAACACTTTGTGTAGAATTGGTATTTTTTTTTCTTTGATATTTGGCAGAATTCACTAGTAAAACCATCTGGGCTTGACATTTTCTTTGTGAGAATATTTTAATTACAAATTAAAATTTTAAAGTATATATAGTGCCACTCAGGCTCTCTTTCTCTTTGAGTGGGCTCTGGTAGTTCATGCTTTCAAGGAAGTTTTCCATTTCATCTAAGCTGGCAAATACGATTCCTTCATCATCTTCTCAATATCTGTCGAATCCACGGAGAAACTGCATCTCGCATTGCTGATGTTGGTAATTTATGTCACTTTTATTTTTCTGATCCGTCTGACTAGAAATTTTTCAATTTATTGATCTTTTCAAAGAACTAACTTTGGTCTCATCACTTTATAGTTTTCCTGTTTTCTATTCACGGATTCCACTCCGATCTTTAATGTTTATTCCGCTGCCTGTTTGGGAATGTAGTCTGCTCTTGGTGTACCTGTGTAAGGTGCAGGCTGAGGTGGCTGATTCGGATCCTGTCCCATTTCTCCTGTGGTGTTCAGTGCTGTAAATTTCCATCTCAGTATTGCATTGGCAACATCTTAAACATTTTGATAGGTGGTTTCTTCTTTTCATTCCCTTCAGTTCAAAATACTTTCCCTTTTGATTTCTTCTGTGGCCCACAGTTACTGTGATGTTTGCAATTTACTTCTCAAATCTTTGGCATTTCCCACATACGTAGTTTCCTGTTTTACTTTTTTAAATTGAGGTAAAATTCACATGAAATTAACCATTCAAAAACATACAATTCAGTGGTATTTACATCCACAACATTGTGCCACCATCATCTCTAACTCCAAAACATTTTCGTCACTCCAGCAAACCACCCCTCATCCTCCTCGCCCTGTTTCCACGGATGTATCTAACTTTGCTTCTGATTTCTAATTTAATTACATTGTGTCACCAGTACACGCTTTGCATGACTTAAATCTTTTAGATTTATTGAGACTTGTTTTATGGTCCAAAATGTGGTCTGTCTTGACGTGGTTCACATGCCGTGAAGAACACCTCATTCTGCTGCTGTCGGGCGAACATTTTATAAACACCTTTAGGTCATATTGGTTGGCAGTGTTGTTCCAATCTCCTAGTGATTTGCTGATTTTCTGGCTACTTGTTCTAGTAATACCATGAGAGAGGAACTGGAATCTGACTGTCGTTGTAAAGCTGCCTATTTCTCCACGGCAGTTTATCAGTTTTAGTTTCATTGATTGTGAGACTCTGTTATGAGGTCATGTCTGGACTTATATCCTCTTGACTGGTTGAGCCCTTTGCACTATAAAAGAAGCTTCTTTATCCTTGGTAACGTTCTGCTTTCTAAAATCGGCTGCATGTGATGTTAGCATAGGCCCCCCAGCTTTCTTTTGATCCGCGTTAGCATGGTATATATGTTTTTCCATTCTTCCACTTTTAACCTAGTTATGTCTTCATATTTAAAGTGGCTTTATTGTAGGTAGCCCATGGTCCGGTTTTGCTTTTTTATATAATCTGACAAATTCTTTTAACCGAGGGCATTTTGTTATTTAAATTTCATGTGATTATTCGTATGATTAGGTTTAAGGTTATCATCTTGCTGTTAGTTTGTCTCACCTATTCTTTATTCTTTCTTTTTTCTGCTTTCCTGTGAGATATACTTGTTAGGGTCCTTTCATGGCTTACGCAGCATACATCTGTATTCTGGGACTTCTGTGGCTGCTTTGGTGTTCAGAGTGTACGACATCCTTTCACGCAGAGCGTAGAAACATTGCATTTTCACATGTTATCGACTCTGTGGTACATTGTTAGTATTGTTTAAGCAGCCAATTATCTTTTAGAGTGACTTTTAGAATAAGAAACATTGGGTACACTTTCCCCTGCAGTTTATGTGTTTGAGGCTCTCCAGGCACCTGTGTGGACCCACACTTCCAGTGGGCATGGCTTCCTTCTGCCAGCAGGACGGACTCCAGGAGCTCCTGCAGGACAAGGCCACTGAGGACACGGTCCTTCAGCTTTTGAGTGTTTAGACAAACATCTTCATCTCACCTTCACTAACAATCATATTTTCTGGGTATAGAATTCCCAGTTGGGAGTGTTTCATCTCGGCCTCACAGCGGTCCCTGGGTTGGGCTCTCAGCTACAGTGCTTCCGTGGGAAGCTGCGCCACCCGCCTCTGTTGCTCTGCACATAAACACGCAGTGCTCTCTGGCTGATGCTCAGGTGCTCTTCTTATCACTGGGGTTAAACCGTTTGGTTAGAGTGTGTTTTTATATAGTTTTATTCCTCTTTATAGTTCTTGTGTTTGGGATTCATTCAGCTTCTTGGATCTGTGAGTCTGTATTTATTTTTATCAAATCTGGAAGGTTTTCAGTCATTTTTCAAACGATTCTACTCCTCTTCTCCCAGGATTCCAGTTACACCTGGATTTGTGAATTTAAAACTGTTCCTTGACTCATTGTCTGTTAACTTTAATTTCTGTTCTTTTAAATTTCATTATCTCTTCATTTAAAAAATTGTCTGTTGCTATGTCTCTAAGTTCTCCGACCTTTTCTTCTGCCACTGCTGTCATCCACCCCACCTGGTGCCTTCTTCACCTCCCGTGTTGCAGTTTTCACCCTGGAAGTTTGGTTTTTGTCTTCCTTTTATATCTTCAACATTTCTACTTAACTTTCTGAACATATAGAAGAGTTATAACAACTTGTCTTCCAATTATAACATCTGTGCCCACTGATCAGTTTCCTTTTGATTGATGAATTATTCCCTCCGTTATGAGTCATGTTTTCCTGCTTTTCTATATAGCGGTTTTTTATTGGTTGCCCGACATTTGGGCTTTGTTTTCCTTTGGGGTCTGGTGAGCATTTCTGCATTCCTCTTCAGGCCTGGGCTCCAATCCGAGACAGTTATGCTCTCAAAGGAAATAGGTCCTTTCAGGTCTTCTTCTTAGGGTCTCTCGGCAGGTCTAGAGCAGGGCTCCCCCAGGCCTGCGTACCCTTGACTGAGGCAAGGCCCTGTGTCTACTCTGCCAGATGCCCCAGGGATCATGAGGTTTTCCAACCTGGCTGGTGGAGCTGGTGCTGTTCCCATCCTGCTTCCTAGAACCCTTTTGGGTGGTTCTTTCCCAGCAGGGGGTAGCTTCCACTTAAGAATGTACTGATCAGTCCTCAGCAGGACACTCTGGGGCCTCCTGCAAAAGTCTTGGGGTTTTCTCTCGGTGTGGCCACCCCTCCCCAGGGCTCTGTCCCATGAGTGGCAGTGCCTGGCTCTCCCTGGGTTCTCGGCTCCATCCTGTGACTCAGGTCACCAGCGGACTCCACCTGAGCAGCCGCGATGAGCTCAGACCTCACCTCAGGGACCACTGCCTGTCATCGCCGGCGTCTAGCATTCTGAAAGTCTTCGTTTCATACCCTGTTTGTTTTTTCGCTATTTCAGACAGTGGGGAGTATCTGGTCCCTGTTACTCGATTTCAGCTAGAAGCGGAAGTCAGCTGGCTTGTAAGGTAAGTTACAGTGGGGAGTATGTGCCAGTGGGAGTGACCAAATGCGCACAAGGACGGGGCACCTGCTTACGTCGTGAAGTGACAGCAAGGCCTGGATGCTCTGGAACCTCTCTTCTTCCTCAGCCACGGCGCTCTGCGCCAGGCCATACGCTTCCAAGTAATACGCAGTTTTTTGTTCTTCATCTTTCTCGTTCTGGGCACGTAACCTTGATAGGACATAAGAATGGAATTTGGAACACAAGTGTCAAAACATGATGCTATTATTACTAAATGTTTAACATGTCATTTTCTATAATTACACTGTCTATTTTACTAGTACTTAAAATGATGTCTTAAAATAGCTTACATGTAAAGACATTCTCAATATGTCTTAAAGGTTTAAGACGCTGAAATAATGCAGTATGTACAGGGTATTGTGGTTGTGAAAATTAAATCTGCACTTGAAGGAGAAGTGCTGAAGCAATTCCACAGGATCAGCTTGAATCAGCTGGCTGCGTTTGATTGGCTAACTGAAGTTCTGGAAGGACGTGTCCCACACCCACAATAACAGACGTGGCTCAGGTCAGACCTCGTGGGTGGGGTTGCGCTTTCCTGGCACAGGCTTCTGAATGCCCACATTGGGCCCACTGTGTCGAGATGCTTATGTGTGGACAAGCATGGGGGAGCCCCAGGTTGGGGGCAAGGCAGTGGACAGGGCGAGGGAAGCTTTACCAGGACAGGGGTGGCTGGCATCAGGGTTGTGCCTGGGCTGCGCACGTGTGACCTGGGCCTGGGCATGTGTGTGCAATGAGCGTGTGCCTGTGGCTGGTGGGGGTGGGCTGTGCTGTATGTCTGTGTGTGTCTGCTGAGGGCTGGAGCAGGGCCCAATGAGGGTGTCCCCAAGGGAGGTGTGGCAGCCGCAGGGCTGAGGCCAGGAAGAGGCCCTGTCAGGAGCAATGGGGGCTCCTCAGAGGGAGGGCTGGGCATGTGATCAGAATGTGGGGGTGAGGTGGCAGCCAGTAGCTTGCCAGGGGAGGGGCCTGTGGACCCTGAGGGGGTGCAGCTGGGGTGAGCAGGCCCCGAAGGCAGGATGGCGCAGGGCATGTTGTGTGTGGGAGAAGCGGTGGCTCCATGCCGGGGCGCAGAGGCGGCCTGACCTCTTGATCTTCGCACGCTCTAGTTTGACATCAACACAATTCTCTTTGTAGCCACAGTCGATAAACCTTCTCTCAATATCCAACAAGCTGTCGTCCATCTCTTTCAGCAGCAGTGAGCACTCTGTGGGTTCCCTGACTGCAGACTCCTGTGCAACTCTGACCCGCAGACTCAGGCACCTGAAGGGGGGTCGGTTTGAGGCCTGCGTCAGAAACCCCAGGGCCGTGACGGGGCTCGCGGCTGTACTGCTGCTGTTCTCCTGGTGTTCATCCAGGGATACTAGAAGAAATGCTTTCGGGGCGTTACTCCAAAATCAGACACCGTACGGGCCTCACTCTGTGATCATGGGCAATAAAGTCAGAAACTAACAAGCCCCACCCCAGGCACAGTATCCACGTGGAAATCTGAAGGCCCTCTCGTACGTGACTCACCAGTGGAACAAAAACCCATGCTGACCCTGTGGGCTGTTCACACGTGGCAGCTGCAGGGCAAAGGGCAAGGTTGGGAGGGGGGCAGAGAGCACAGCCACGAGGCCTCGGCCTCCCCACCCCGCCCCGAGCAGCCACAGCAGAGCCCTGGGCGGCCCTCTCGCCGCTGCAGAAAAAGCTCCACAAAGATGAAGCAGAAACAAGGAAGCCTGAGTCACACAAAAACCCCTGTTGCTGGGTCTGTAAACCAACGCCAGCTCCTTGAAAAGGTCCACTGGGCTGGAGCTTCCAGTTCCAATTTGGAAGAGACGATGTTGCCATCCAGGTCAACATGGCAAAACCCCGTCTCTACTAAAAATACAAAAATTAGCCAAGTGTGGTGGCAGGTGCCTGTAATCTCAGCTACTCGGGAGGCTGAGGCAGGAGAATCACTTGAGCCAGGGAGTTGGAGGTCACAGTGTGCTGAGATCGTGCCACTGCAATGCAGCCTGGTGACAGAGGGAGATTCTGTCTTAAAAAAACAAAAAGAAAAGAAGAGATGGCTTTGATAAACGGCACCAAGGGAGGCGTGCCTGTGACAAGAGCTTTGTGAAAGAGAACACATGCTCTACAAATTTAGAGACACACACAGACTTGGAGGAAAAGGTTTCTTAGGCCCTTCCCAAGGCCCTGAATCCACCTTTCTAAGCCAAACAGATGGGATGGACGGTCCGTTTCTCAGGGAAAGCCTGAAGCAGCTCAGGAAACTTCTGGAGCATTCTGGAGCTGCACAGAAAGCTATGAGTATGTGAGCCCATTACTTGGGTCTCTGTGAGTATGTGAGCCCATTACTTGGGTCTCTGTGAGTATGTGGGCCCGTTACGTGGGTCTCTGTATGTGGCCCCGTTACGTGGGTCTCTGTGAGTATGTGGGCCCGTTACGTGGGTCTCTGTATGTGGCCCCGTTACGTGGGTCTCTGTGAGTATGTGGGCCTGTTACGTGGGTCTCTGTGAGTACGTGGGCCCATTATGTGGGTCTCTGTATGTGGCCCCGTTACGTGGGTCTCTGTGAGTATGTGGGCCCGTTACGTGGGTCTCTGTGAGTACGTGGGCCCATTATGTGGGTCTCTGTATGTGGCCCCGTTACGTGGGTCTCTGAACTCACACAGGCGTTCACATGAACGAAGTGTTTCTCACAAAACGTTACCTGGCTTCTAGGTCTGTGATCATGAATTCTAACAACGGCATTCGGTTTGGTCTTTCCTTCTTGAGAATCTTGAGGGCACTGATGAGCTTCTGAAATATGTGGCACACCTGAGGACGGGTGGGTGGATACGGGTGTGTTGTCAGCAGTCTGCCGGGCAGAGCTCTGTGGACGCCCCTTCCCTCCACCGAGTACCTTGCCCAGTGCCTGACATGCGGTCCCAGGTCCCCGGGCCTCTCACCGTAGCTTCTTGTCCTGAGTGTTCCATGGACAAGAGCGTCTCTGCCAGGGTCAGCGTGGAATTGTACCAGAACTCCTCGTTTCCGCCCAGGTGCTGGGCCTGTGCAATCATTCTCTTGGCTTGTCCATAGTTCTTCTCCTTGTTGGCCAGCTGTGCCAGGAGGAACAGGCACTGGGCCTCTGCACAAGGCTCATCCAGCTCCTGAAGGAGAGAGACCCAGAGGTGCGTGGGTCCCACTACAGGCGTGTGCAGGCAGGGAGACAGGGCAGGCAGAGAGAACGAAGAGGGAGACAGAGGCATCGGGCGAGAGAGAGGCAGGGCCGCTCTGGCAGCAGAAGGGTGGGGCCCACGTCTTCCCTCGCGCTCCCCAGCTGCGGCTCCTCTGGTGGGATGCCCTTCCTCCCTGCCGTCCCGCGTTCCCCTACTCCACAGGCTTCTCCGGAGGCCACAGTCAGCACCTGCGGCAGCTCGTGAGCACATCGAGTTGCATTTAATTCTATTTCAATGATGAGCTGACAGCAGAATCAGCGTTACTGAGGCGCTGCCCCACCTGGCTCGTCTTTAGGGGGATTTGCCTCCCCCTTCCCCTGGGCAGCAGGAAGCTTCATCCCTGGAGCCTCCTGGGCTCCTGCTGGCCCCATCCTGGCCACATCTTCAAGGAGCTCCTGCTTGGGGCAAAAGGCTTTGTGGCAATCGCACCTGGACACCGATGCCCAGAGCACTCAGAGGCTCCTGGAGCTCAGCCAGCCCGTCCGGGGCCTGCTGCCAGGGGGCTGGGCAGCCACACGATCCGTGGCAGAAACAGGGCAGTGTGTGTAAGGACAGAGGGGCGCTGGCCAGAGGGCGAGGTGAGGACGGGAGCAGCGGCGGGGAGAAGGCAGCGTCCTGTCCCAGGCATCACTTTCCGGCCAAACAAGATGCCCTGTGTGCTCATTTGGACCTGTGCAGGTCCCTCCCAGGTGCAGATGCAGGGACAGAGGGGAGGGTGGCTGACGAGCTAGGGCTGCCCGCCAGCGAGCAGGTGTGCCAGTTGCTGAGGGTGCCATGCATTGAAGATGCCCATGCATTCAGGAAGAGAGGGGGCTGTGGCCACCAGGGAGCCTGCATGCACCAGGGCATGGCTGTGACCGCCAAAGATGGCATGGGCAAGACCTGGGTCTGTAGCAGCCTCGTGGGCAGTCAGGTGGCCTGACGGTAGGCAGGTGGGCGCATGGGGTCTGTGGAAGGGCATTCTTGGCCTAGCCAAGCCTGGAAGGGGGGTGCAGTGCTCTGAGGCCAGAAGAGGGGAGGCCCTGTGTGGCTGGGCCCAGAGACCAGGCCCAGTAAGGGCCCACAGCACCGGTCACCTGCAGGGCCTGTTCGTGACGGCTGCAGTGGGCCCATGGCCAGAGACAGGGCTGGCGGAAGCTTCCACATGGAGAAGAGGAGAGTGCGGAGGTGGGACAGGGCTTGGTTGGGGCTGGGGAGCGCCCAGAAGGCAGGGAGAGGAGAGGGTGGGTGGCACGCGGGGCCTGAGGGTGAGGATGATGCCAGGCTTTGGCGCCTACACCTGAGTGGGAGGGGCAGAGCCCTGTCCCGAGGAGTGGACAGCACGGGACAGTCACAGCCCCTGGGGCAGTTGTTCCCATCCCAGAGGCCTCCGAGGCCAGCGGGGGTCTGAGTGTTGAGGCCACAAAGGGAGAGCCTGGGGCAGGGCTGGACCCCCGAGAGATGAGGACACCAGGTGGGTGGGCCTGAGAGGGAGCAGGGAGGCAGAGAGCATGAGGGAGGGGTGCCACCAGTAGGAAGGAGAGAGCCCCATGGAGGAGGGACCAGGGCGGCAAGGGCAGGTGCGGCCTACGCGCTCCCATCATGGGCTTCGGGAGCAGGTTCAGGTGCTCGGGGGTGGCTGGGCTGCACTGGCCAAGGGTGAGGTGGGCCTGGAGGGGAGGGCAGTGCACGAAGGCAGACTTTCTGCAGTGTGGACGTGGCTGAGAAGCCAGGTGAGCTCCCAGGAGCTCTTCCACACCTCAGCTCCCTCTGGTCCCAGCAGAGGCTGGCTCTCTACTGTGGATGTGGCCAAAAGAACGCTACACCCACCAGAATCCCTTCCCCAGCTGTCCAGGGCGTTCTCAGGCCCTTCCTCAGACAAGCTCAATCTTGACTCTGGTGTGTACACACCCATCTC